CTATAGCAGGATATAAGAAGACAACGCAATAACTTTTACCCTGAAGATGTACACAGACATGTATTGAGTTACGAACAAAGAAGAGGGAAAGAGCTGCAAGAATCCTAGTGTCTTGGGGATTAAATTGATAATGTGAAGAGACAAATATACAAACAATGAAAACTTACAGTAACAACTTCAACAGATTTCTGCAACATTCATACTGTGTAACAAAAGAAAAATGTTATTTTTTAAGACTTACATTACTAATTGTGACAGAGTCCTTATCGCGTAGTGAGCCAAGGTATAGATTTGTCACTTGATTAAGGTCCACCAGAATAAGATCAAGCAATTCCAGACGGAGTTCTCTGAGGTACATCACATTGCGAGCCAGGCCCTCACCTAGGTGTGATGGCAAAGGTCGCTCAAACCACACTAATTCATCATTCTGGAATAATTTTTACAACAACTTCAATTAATGTAATTTCTTTTTTCTTTTGATGTTTAATGCAACACTGACATATCACTATTCTCAAATAATTGATATCATTACTGGTAAAAGATTACAGAAAATTATTGCACAACATATAAAAACTACTAATTTTAGGCTGCAGTCACCAACCTCTGAACATTCCTGCCGAACATGTGAGAAAAAGACATGACTTGGCGACAGCTTGAGATATCTGATGAGAAGAGTTGGTAGTCCTGATACGAAGGACGGCACAGCTCCCTTGTGTTGGAGCATATGAACATACACTTCAGCTGCCTGAAACAATAAAATCAAGTTTAAGGAAGAAATTTAATAGAAATCTTTCCGTCTTTCACACATCATGAGACAATACAATCCATCTCTCAAGTTATGGGGACTGTCCCTGAGGTGTGCGTGTGATGGGGGGCAGCGGCAGTAGAGGAAGGGGGGGCAGGGTCTGGGATGTCATTTTGAGAGAAAGGTTAATGGTTAAAAACAAAAATGTGCTAGATATCAAAGGTCATACAGCACTATGGTAAAGTATTGCAGTAAAAAGGCTAAAAAGGATTTAATGATTAGGAAAAAATGTGTTAATGTCAAAGGTTATAGAGCATTATAGGATAGTATGGCAGTGAAAAGGGTAAAGAAGGGGAGCAATTGAAGTAAAGTGGAGATTAGTAAAAGAGGAAAGGGTTAAGGATGGCGTGATTGGATGAAATGGACAATATCTGTGGCTGAGGAAGGAAGAGGAACACTGTTCAAGAAAAACTGGCAAAAGATCCATTTTGAAACAATTAATGGGTAATACAGACAGAGATGGCTGTTGGAGGAGAAAAACCCAGGGAATGAGATAAGGGAGGTGGTGAAATATCAGGTAGAATATCAGGAGGGGAGGGATATGGAAAAAATGGGGTGTGTTAAGGGAAACTTGAGGAGGAGGAGGATGGATATCTGCAAAAACTTTGAATGTAGAGGGAATGATGAGGGAGCAGAGCATTCTCTTGCATCATGTTTAGAAAGTTTGGGATGTCTTTATGATTTCCTGGAGGGGAGTTGGGTGGGGAGGTCTGAGAAACAAAGGTTCTCTTGTGAGGAGAAGAGGGGATAGATGATAGAGGAGCAGAGGTAGAGGAGGGTGTAGGACAGGGTGTGGTAGGTGAAGATGGAATGGAACATTTAGGTTGCCTGGTGCAGTAGGTAAAGTATAGAGGAGGAAGGGTAGGTATTGGGGTATCTGGATTCAGACTGGAAAAGAAATCTGACAGAGAGAGGGGGTAGATGGAAGAGATACTGGAAAAGATCCTGAGGCATCTTGAGAAGATGGCAGGGGAGCCAAGACAAGAACAGTTTGGGAATAGGTAGAGAGAAAAACCTTTTGTCGTGGCTTCCTCTCTGGCTTACCCATAGAGTGATGCCTAGTTTGAAATATAGAACAGCTACCTCACATTCAAGTATATAAGCAGGGCAGCTACTACAAAATACATTATGGGAGCTACCAATTGGCACACATTGGGAAATTGAACAGTCATACCCAGGTTGGGAACATGAGGACAGCGAGCTATGGAGTGACAATGTTTGGTTGGGTGGCCAACATTTCTGACACTGACAAGGAAGGGGTCAATATGGTCAGACAGGGCAAGACACACTACCAATATAAATCTCAAGGGGGAGGCCATGTTTATGGAAACTAATCTTAGCAAATAGGTGTAGGATTTATGCTGGGAGGAATAGTGTAGCATTGTATTACCACTGCATCATAGTCAACAAAGCAGGTGAGCAGGACATTTTTACAGTCTGATCAGTTCTTGCTGTAGAGAGGACAATTGGTTGGGGAGATAGAAACAGTTCTGGTACAAGTATTATGCGAGGAGTGAGGTCAATCAGGGCAGACAGTGCATGAGCTTCGGACTTTGATGTCATTGAAAAAAGGAGTGAATTATCAGAATGACTGTGAAAGGAAACTTTGCCTCCTTGTTTTAGGAGGCATTGTTGGAAGAGAAGGGTATTGTAAGAGTAAGGGACTGAGGAGGGAATTCAGAGTTCTTGCAGGTATAAGCTTATGAAATGTAAGACCTTTTTAAGACTTTTTAAGACTCATAAGTCTCATAAGTCTCACACGGCCCATAAGTGAACAGCCGTGTCGATCAGCAAAGATAAAGGTCTAATATTGTTGACAAATGATTTCCAATTAAGCTGTGTAGATATCTGCAAGTGAGTGAATCACAAGGGCAACCAACGGTTATAGATATATGTACATTCATGAAAACAAAGTATGTCTTAGACAAATTTTATGACCTGCAATTGAAAAAGCTTTATTTTCATGACATTTTAAGGTCTTAAATTTTAAAAAAATATATTTTAAACATTATAAGACTTTAAACCCTGAAATCACAAGAATCAATCCCAGTTAGGTTTATTGAGGTGGAAGCAGTAGGACATGGGTGGGAGGAAAATGGGGTAGTAATGTGGGGAGGCAATGAAGAAGACTGTACAGTAGTTTTGAAAACAAAAAGAAGCAGCTGTGTAAATTTCCTTACAGTACTAAAATGGAAAATAATTGTAAAAAAAATAAATAAATAAAAAATAAATAAATAAATAAATAAATAAATAAATAAATATCATATCCTTCAGAGGCTTATAACCCATGTAGGGATAGCAGGTAACAAATATATATGAAAAGAATGCAATTTTATATTCTCCAACGTACAACAAGAGAATCATCATTACTGCAAGGACTGTCTCCTAAATAACTGTTTCTACAAGTTCCATAGATGAGAAATTTACAAAAAAGTAAATAATAATCTCAAACGGTATTTATCTCAAGCAAATGAATCATATCTTAATTGTGCATAAAAAACTGACCTGCGTATCAAAGACATTATTCAAATTAATGTCAAACTGGTGATGCAACATATCCTCCATAGTCCTGCAATCGTGCACGACTTTCAGGACTGTCTTATCCTTCAAGACTCCACCCAGCCCCTTTCGGAAAGCTTCACCTGCTCCAATCTTGGCCATATCGAACAGAAAGATAATGCTGGAAGTTGCCACGCTAAACCAAGCTAGGGTCCCTCCGCGTCCTAGGTTCTGACCTTCCAAGCTTATCGAGATGGTGTTCTCATTCTTGATAAATTCCAACTGAGGGAACAGGAGAAACATTACTAAGTATGTTCAAATATATACATTCATGTCACATACCTATGTATGTATGTATACATTAGCATGTATATATGTAAAATTAATATGCACATAAAAATCACTCAAACTAAATAGCAAAGAAACATGATTATGAAGAAAGAAAGAAAAAAAAATGAGCATATAAAACCTTGTATACATTCTATGACACTGAAATAATAAATCAAAATATTCATATGAAATCACTGTAAAGAAAAAGAAATCAATTATATATTCATCAGGGATTTCAACACCAGAATATACCTACTGCTTTCATGTAAGCATCATCCAAGTTATCAATAACGAGCCATTTAGCTGGTCGTGGTATTCTCGCTGGTGGTGGTGGAGGCGGCTTCTCTTTGTCAGCCGAGTCCCTTCCATTATTTAAAGGGTTGTTTTCCACTCTGCCTAAAAGGACATCTTCGTCTAACTGATTTGCATCATATCCAAGCAGGTGGGGTGGCACGATCTTCTTCATTAGGAGTTGCTTTCCTCTCTGGTCTTCCTGATAAACATCCTGATGGAGTATATACATTTTGCTTGACATATAAACTGTTCTAAGCTATTTCTACCATCTACAGTAAAATCTGGGGCTTGATAATCATCTCTTGTGCAAACATACATTTTTATTCTGAATTTCCATGTTACTTAATAATTCTCTCCTGCACTAATTCTACACTTTACTTTATATGCATCTCCTGTAATAAATTTAAACTTTACTTTATATGCATCTCCTGAAATAAATTTAAACTTTACTTTATAAGCACATCCTGCACTAAATTTACACTTTACTTAACAATCACTTCCTGCACTACAATTATACTCTGCCTACATCACACACATTTAATTTACCTCAAGATATAACAATCACCAAAATTATTCTAAGCAAAGACTAACCTTCAGAAGTCTTTCCTTCGCCTCTTTGTCCTCGCCAATGACCGTTATCTTCAAAATGTTGTGAAAGAAAAAGGTCAATAATCCAACTCTTTTCTTTCCTGTTTTTGGATTGCAGACCTAGCATGGAAAAAAAGAAAACACATTAAGATATCTATTCCTACACTGGCATCAATGTGTATCCTATTTCATGAGAGAGAGAAAGAGAGAGACAGAGAAAGAGAAAGAGAGAGAGAGAAAGAGAAAGAGAAGAGAGAAGAGAGAAAGAGAGAAAGAGAAAGAGAAAGAGAAAGAGAAAGAGAAAGAGAAAGAGAAAGAGAAAGAGAAAGAGAAAGAGAGAAAGAGAAAGAGAAAGAGAAAAGAAAGAAAGAAAAGAAAGAAAAGAAGAGAGAGAGAGAGAGAGAGAGAGAGAGAGAGAGAGAGAGAGAGAGAGAGAGAGAGAGAGAGAGAGAGAGAAAATGAGAGAGAGAGAAAATGAGAGAGA